AGCAGTGATTATTTTATAATTTCCAGTTAACTGATCGGCAGTTGTTGTTTGTTAATATTCTCGCCACATAGTGAAGACGGATATGTTGTCAGTGGCTGATGATTTGCTTGTCACATAATGACAAAATCATCAGCTCAGGCAGCTTTGGAAAAGTGATCCACAGCCACCAGTATAAACTGGAAACTAAAAATGTGATTCCTGTTGCTATGTGTTGTGATCAACAAGTGTATTGTACTCAAATATCGAGATCAGCAGACAAACCTTGTGGAACATTGAACAAGGAGACAATAAGTTTATATTGGAATATTCAATTCTTATGCAGACTAGCATTTTGGTTTTACAGTTGGTGTGTTGTGTGCCCATACTACTTCAGCACACTTATCCAGCTGACTGCTTGATCTCTTCAGCAGATCATCCAAATCACCCTTTAATGTGGATAACTGTCATCTGAAAATATATTTTTGTTTTTTTTAAACAGTCGGTTGTTTGAAGATTAACGTTAATAGCGTTTATGTACGCATTGCGCATGCATGACCTCCTTGCTATTTATTGCACAGGGCTTGCCTGACCATTCGTGGGGAGTCAGTTGCACATGTATTTGTGAGGACCTCGGGGGTACATTGGTATCTTCTTATTTTAGGAGTCAATCTTTGCTTGCGAACACCGTGTTTATGTATGTTGAGGTACGGCCATGGAAAAACACTTGTGCTAATTATCGAACATAGCTACTCCATCGACATCGTTTTTCAAGCTTCCTAATAAAAAAACATCGACCCTGGTCGCCATGCAATTAACTCCTGTGTTCTTTGATCATTTGGTGACCAGCAATTATTTTACAAATTTTGTATTTTGGACAATTGTGAATAATGTCTGGCTAATAGATTTCCTTCTGTTGAATTGAAAAACAACTGTTGCTTTTAGAACTATCACCGAAAGTCAAAATAAACATGCACTGTCATCGAAGAGTAAAGGATTCATTGATATTGTAGTTCAATGAATGTTCGCAATACCAAAGTAACAATATGTTTATTTTTTACAAATGTGATAAATAGTTTATTCTTATTTAGACCGATCTTATTTAATATATGCTTCACCTATTTTCCAGGTCTGGACTTTTGAATGAATTTTAAATGAACAAAATGCTACACTCGCAATGCCATTCACATTATTGGATCTCTTAATATTCTGAAATCATACCGTGAATGTGGCGTAGTTTCTAGAAATATCGTGGAATAAATATATATCTTAGTGCAGTGAGTTTTACTAAACAACTAAGAGTGTAAGCATGGTTGTAAAATGTACATCAATCTCAATCCGGGTACTCCATTTATAAACAATACGGCGGGATAAATATTATTCTATTCGCAATGTGTTACGATGAACACGTGCATTGTACCCACACATTGAGGTCAGCATACAAACCTCGGGAAACAGTGAACAAAGAAACAATAATCGAAAAATAAACGATTATATTGGAATATACCTGACTTACACTGGCCAGCTTATTTGTTTTCCAGTGGGTCTGTAATGTGTACATGTCATATCTACACATTTGTACTATTTCTGAATGTATTGTCCTGTGTTCTAAGAATGTAAGCTGACTGATTCTCTTTGAGCTCTTCATCTCGTCAGCAGATCACCGAAACCATCCTTTAATTAGGCTAACTGTCATCCGAAAATATAGTTTTTGCTCTCAAAACAGATGAGTCTGATGTGCCTGTATTATGTACATGTAAACGTGTTTGCATAATGTAAATGTAGACATAGAGCCAGGAACAACCACTGATAGAGCTGAACAGTTTCAAAAACTATGTATGCTCGATAAGATATGGCAAAAGAGCAAGCAGAATTGTTGAATCGAGTGACTAGTTTAATATATTAGGAAGAACGTACTGTCTTCTAATTACCAACAAAAGAGGTAGGCTGTAAGTAGAAGCAAAATGTGGTTACAGTGATTTATTATCGATGGTTCTGAGTAATATGTGGATATTCAAATAATAATAATAATACATGTAGTGAGATATGCCTACATCAGTACCTCATAAGGCATGCTTGATTGTACCATTAGATTTTGGTCGGTGGATCATGTATTCGAGAGGAGAGATGCATTGTACCATTAGATTTAGGTCGGTGGAACATGTATTCCAAGAG